TAAAAAAAGTTTCTAAATTGCCGAATGATTTTAAAAACCTACCGACTGTTATAACTGAATTCAAGTTTTACAAACTGAATGTTGGGTTCATCCTATCTAGGAAAAAAATATTCTTACCTTCGGTTTGAGAAAATGGTTGCATAGTTCTCATAGAATTTCGCAATAGACATGGATCATGCTGTATATATCAGGGGCAGCATTAATAAATTGACGGATACGATGTATTATGAGTGAACACCACACAGTCATAAAAAAATCAAAATTAGAAAAATTTTCAAAACCGAAGGAAATGCTTCCTTTAAGAATAGAATTTAAAGCAGGTGTAATTTCCTATCAAATAAGTACAAGAGAGGATTTTTTGTGTATGCTTTCCATAAAATATATTCGAATTTATAAGGGTAGTCACAATCAATGATACAAATGCATACTATTTAAGTAGCCATTTTTTAAAGAATCAACTTTTTTGCAGCGGTCAGAAAGAAGGTCATCACAGAGTCGGTATCCTAGCGTGAATAAAAAGAATCGAAATTGGGCTGCATGATAAACAGTATTGCAACCCTACTCAATGTTGTTTTGCGAATCCTTACCGGTCTTTTTCAAATTGCCGTATTTTTCTTGCAGCACTCGCCATACTGTAATTGTACAAAAGTGCTCTATCAGAATTGGAGGATTCCATAGGTTGGAGTAGGTTGGGCGAGTAAATTGACCGAAGTGGGATTAATCTCACGGCTCCCGGTGGCGAGCCTCGTAGCTCAGTTAAGTAGAGCGTTGGCTTTCCTAAAACCTGCCCCTTACCGGCGTGGATTCGTATCCCACCGAGGCCGTCAAGTTTTTAACTACTGCGTCAAGTGAAAAAGTTGAATTTTTTCAGGGCAGATACGCACAAACCTTCAATGGCTACGCCTAGAACTCTTCAAGAATATCGACTGAACCAAAATATCCGCCATCAAGTGGGGCTGTGTTGTGAGCACCATAACAGAAGTAGCAAGGGTGAAGAAGGTATAAAGATGGAATAAATGGCATAACTGTGTTTCCGGGCGCCTTAAATCAACACTTTCTAACATAATCGTTTCCTTGAAGAAATGTGAATTAAGTGCAATATCCTTCAGGTCAAATAAGATGGAAACATTTTAACCCTCCAAACAAACTGTGCAAGTTGGAATCTCGCTCCTCATAATTGCTGTAGTAATTTAAGTCGTGTACTGTGACTTGGATTTATGCAGGGCTACATTCTTGCGATTCATTTGAAGTCAATGTCTCGCGTATAAATAAATGTCTAAGTTGCACATGCCTGCCGGCAAGTCATGTTGGTTTCGACCAAATCTCCGCGGTTCTTCGGGTAGGTTGAATTTAGTTGGGTGGGGGGGGGAATTGACAGATTTAAATAATTCATTTGATTTAGTTGATGCAATTGCAAAAACCGCGGCGTCGGTGGGAATCAAACCCGCATAGTGGGGGAGGCCTTTACGCAGCCAACTCTCTACCACTTGAGCTCCAACGCCACGCTGTTAATTTAATCACACTTGGATCGATTTTACCCGCACAAATTTACCGCTCATGAATCCCTTCCTGACGTGGATTCCTATTCCACCGAGGCCGCCGAGTTTTTCACAACTGCGTCAAACTAATAATGTTTCAGAAGAAGAAGATGCGATCACTGGAACAAGGACTTTATTTTCCTGA